CCTGGATCGCGGAGAATCCTCGGGGCTCCGGAGGAGTTCTCACCTACATCGTCCATATAGGACGACTCGGGAACTCAACTCCTACCCCGGGCAGCTCACCTATCCCCTTATGCCCAGGGGAAAGGTATCAGGCCGTTTGACAGCTGGTACTGGCTGTCAAAACGGCTTTTACGCGAAACAGGCGGGAGGCAGCAAACAGTTGCGACCGACGAAGTCGCCTGCCACCGGAAGTCTCTATGTTAGCATTATTCCTTTCACTACATACCTGATGCTTCAATTACAAATAAAATGCAAGCAACGGCTTCATGAGGTACATTTTCCTGTCCTGCAAATGAATTTTGTCCAGTCCACCAATCTATGTTGCAAATACTTTTAAATGTTGTCAAATTAGTAAATTAAACAAGAGTTTAAATTAGGTATTTAAATTTCTCATTGGCGAAAAATCTATGGATTGTTTAATGTGACTGGTAAAGCAAAGTGACAATGTTAAGAGGTGTCTCCTTGAACATCTAAATCTGATTATAGAAAAGGAAAGTGGATCTATGGATGCTGCAATTCATTACTATCTTTAATACATTTGCAAATTACTACTGTGTAAAATCAATCTGTAAAAACAGTCCATTTCCAATTAGTGCCTCATCTGGTTTCCTACACCATTCAATTTCAGATGAATGTTATGAGAAGCATGTTACACAATTTACCACCCATATGGTTCAAATTTAACAATAAAATATTTATATCCTGCCCTGCTTTTTTCTATGTCTCCCACCCACTCAACGTATAGATGTAGTCAATGGAATATGACTTCACAAATCATATGCCACTTTTTGCACCGGCTAGAAAGAGTTCTCATTTTTCTCCATTTTATGTCTACATTAGATAATAGGTCAAAAACATCCAGACATAACTGAACATTTCAAATGTAGATATAAATGAATATACATTTTCATTTTTTTACTATATGGTTAACTTTAAATCTTGTGTTTCACTTAATATAAGTTTCAAATTGATAATTTAGCTTTCATTTTGGAACAATTTTTCCTTTGTTCAAGCACACAATAAATAACTGTACAGATTCAAATCACAATAATCCAGTTAAACAAAAAGCTCACTGTACAACTTTTCTACCATGGCTAATTATCATAATTTAAGGCAAGATTTATCTTTAGTACAAGTGTTGTACTGATAGAAATTGGCTTGATTTCTCCTTTCCTGAGGTTTACTTGATCCATCTTTCTCTAAAGTTCCTATAATTCTCGTAGCAAACAGAAGGAAAAGATGTACACTGAATATATCTATCTTATTGTAATGAAACAACCAATTTCATGTAGCAATTTTGATCCACTAAACAGAATGAGACAAAACATTTAATACGGCTCTCCCCCAAAATCCTTGCTACAATAAAATTAGGAGGTGCCCTATGGCTGTTTTTAAAAGAAAAAAAGTGCAAATGTGTTAATGGAAAGGATACTGCTACACCAATCAATTTCTTATTACTTTCAAGAGCAAATAAAAAAAGCCATTTTCTTATTCATAAATTGTACTGCTTTCATGAAGAAATAAAAAGCAGAGAAAGCTATAGAACATGGAAGTGCAAGTCTCATATAACCATAAAATATGCTTTTTATAAATAATTTCTCTTACCTCCCCCGTTCTACAGCCAAGGCATCTAGTTCATCAAAAAACAATATGGACGGTGAAACAGCTCTGGCTTTCCTAAATATCTAAGAGAAAAAACATGGACTGGGATGATGAAAAAAAAATTAATTGTTGAAAAGTATACTATGTTCTTACAGAGGCTTAACAGACTTCCCATTCACCCATCCAATAAAGTCTGATTGGTAGCATTCTCATATCAGTAGATAAATCTGTCAGATTAGCAATTGGTAAAAGCACTTGGTTGTAAAGTATCAACATTTTATCTATAAAATGTCTGACATCCTGAATCACTTAGTGATTCAGCTGTCAAGTATAGCAGTTTCCAGACCAGGATCAGCAATGGTTTTGACAAGTAATATTGTCCTGTATTTGTTTGAGGATGGTGTGTGTGTGTGTGTGTGTGTGTGTGTGTGTGTGTGTAAAGTAGGCATACTCTTCTCTCTTGTCTTGCAACCCATGGTTAGTTTACCTCTTTTATAAGTAAGTATGAATTGTTGTACTGTTAAATTTATTATACTTAACCTCTCTGACTGCACGTTCAGATTCTCCAACATATTTGTTCATCAATTCAGGTCCCTGCATGGAAAAAAAATCAAAAACTTTCAAGGATGTTTCCGTTACATCATACTTTCTTTTAAATGTTAAAAAAAAAAACACCTTGAAGAGAATACTTGAAAGTATTTTATTTATTATAAAAATGTTTGAAAACACATGCTGTTCCCCAATCAATCAACTTATTAGTCTGGATTTATTGAATTTCCGCTGACTCTTAAATCTTAATTTTCTGGACTCAATTTAAGTTGGCACATATTATCTATAATACACTGAACTGAAATATTTGAAGAACCTGCCATCTACTACAAGCCTTTTTCTATCTTCGTGGTATCCGAAGCAGAACATCCAGATTCAGCCAGAGTTTCATTCCATACAGCATTAATGAGAACTCTCAAGCTTCCTCTTTCCGTTATATATTCAAGATGGACAATATTTAATATTTATTTGCTACATATATGTAGAGATGTGGGTCTATACATATGTTGTTCATAGTATGTTTAGGTGTGTGTCATGTATGTGTTTTACTTTGAGAGCGGGCAACTAAATTTCATTTTTGATGTGTGCCATTATGCCCACAGTATAAAAATGACAATAAAGGTTATCTTATCATCTTATCTTATCTTATCTTATCTTATCATATCTTATCTTATCTTATCATCTTATCTATCTATCTATCTATCTATCTATCTATCTATCTATCTATCTATCTATCTATCTATCTATCTATCTTTTTACACCCTAAATTCACCTTTGCAGTCAACACAGTATGTAATATAATGATTTAATATTATAAACATTAATTAGTACTCTTTGGCTTTGTGATTGTTAAAAAAAGAGAAAGCAGTATTATACATATCTCTTTTTTATATGATCTACTAGTAGTTAAAGTGATACCCTACATTACTATACTTTTGTAGCCTTGATAGTATATTTGCAAACATCAATACTTAGAAGATTCTAGAACAAATGGCAATTAATTAAATAATATGCATACTGAAAACAATGCCAATTACAAAATGAAAAGTATGAATTGGTCAGACTAATCTAAGTAACTTTCTAAAAGGAAATCAAAATGTAAAAGGATTTTGATAGAGGGAGGCTCAAACCAGAATAATACATAACATCCTGATTTTACACTTAGAATAAAGAAAAATACACAGGTATAGAATGAAAAATACCTGGCTTGTTAATAGTACATATGAAAAGAATCTTGGAATTATGTTGACCACAAACTGAAAATGAATCAGCAATAACATATGGCTCCCAAAAAGAGAAATTGTATTTTAGGGCACATCAATAGAAATACAGCTTCCAAATCATGAGAAATGATAGTTATATTAACATTTATATTATTACTTTCATTACCTGCTTTGGTCATACTTACTTCAAGAAATATAGTACATATGGCTCTATACACTATAGTTTAAGAAAGATCCAGAGAAAATGGAAAGAAGTTTTGCAAGGAAAGTTATAGGGCACTAAGTATATGTAACCTTAAGAAAATTTATTCAGGGGCAATATAATAGCAGTATTCAGATACCTAAAAGATTGACAAGGGATCCACAATTATGTATATAGATAGTCCTCACTTAAGGATCATTTGTTTACCAACTGTTTGAAGTTACAATGTGCTGAACAAATGGTATTTATGCCTGGTCCTTGAAATTACAGCCATTGTAGCACCCTGAGGTCACATGATCAAAATTCAGGCACTTGGCAACCTACCCACATTTATGACTGCAGAGTGCACTTCAACTTCCCCACACCAGTCTATCTCCCACCTTATCTGCCCTTTTGGGTGTCCAGTACTCTGCCACTTCCTGCCATTCCTAACTGACCTTTGCCATCTCCTTCCTCCCACTGCTGATGAGGTGCATCCAGCTGAGCCCTTCACAAGGCAGCTGCTGGCGTTACAATACTTTTTTTCTGAGGCTGCATATAGCTTTCCTAAAGTCACACAAGGTCTTTTTTGAGGCCTCAGGAAGTCCATGCATTGCCTCAGGAAGAAAGAATACAGCCAGCAGAAGGGCTTGCCTCATCAGAAACAAAAGAATACAGCAAAAGTGAGGGATTGCGGAGCACAGGGCAACTTGCACACCTTCCCACACCTAGCAGTAGCCATCTCTGGCCCGTCAACGTTCATACTATAGTAGTTGCTTATACACCATCCCTTAATTGCTGCATTCATGCCAGACCATATTATACACACCTGCTGGCTGGCCTGCTTGCAAATTATCTACAATTCAAAAGTTCTGCCCGTTGACTTTGCTTATGGAAGCTGGCAGGCAGTCACAAGGAAATCCTCTTTTAATAACACAATTCTTGCTTAACAACAGCAACAGGGATTGTCAGAATTGTTATCACTAAGTGATGTAGTCACATGATTTTGTGCTTTATGACTGTATTGCTTAGCAAAAGAAATTTTGATCCCAATTACTACTGTTAATCTGTACTTTAATTTGGGTTTCTGTACTGAGCAAAGAGTTATATTTATTGACCTAAAAGTTCTGTAGAACTATATAAAGTTAATTTTGAGATGTTTTCTAAAAAGATTTTATCTCGTGAATTTCATGTTTCTTATTTAATAAAGAGCAATTCATGAGGAACAGTCCAAAGACCCTTTCAGAACATTAACCAATCTTCTTCCAGAAATGTAATGATAATTACTCATAAAGTCAAGACGCAGGTCTTCCCAAAACCATTAATCTATTTTAACTGCTGCAGCCAAGAAATAAAGACAAAGAAATGGCAAATTTAAACTGGAAAGCATTTTGTTGTAATTGATCCAGATGACAACCAGAACGTAAGCCCATGTCAAGTGCAGTAAACCACAAAATATTTTAAGAAGGATACAGGAAGTCAGCAAAGCCAAAGTGAAATCAATATCTGCCAACAGAATATATTTTGAAAGTACTGCTAATTGGAAAAAGAAAAGCTAACTGAAATGGCTCATATTTAAGAGGAAAAGAAAGACAGGATGAACATTTTCTACCAAAGCCTTTACCATAATTGTACATGCTTGAAAAATAAAAATACATTTCAAGTTGCTGTCTCTCTGTCTCATCTGCATAAATTTGTGCTTTGTGATAAATTAAGTTTTAAAAGTTGTCTTAAAACCTACAAAGTTCAAAATCACTTGACAGTCCTCTAGAAATACTAATTATTTTACATGTCTCTTCTGAGAACCACAAAACTGACAAATGAAGCAACATATTGCAAAAGGTTTTTTAAAATATACATGATACAGGTAATCCCCAAGTTACGAGGGTTCACTTAGCATCCATTTGAAATTACGCAACATGCGCCCTCTAATGCTTACGAGCAAGTCCCCAAATCACGAATCTTGCAGCAGCACAGCATTTGTTCATCCTTACGAATGACTGCAGAGGCTCTGCAACATCCACCCCCTCCCCACAACTGCTTCCCACTCCCTTCTGCCGCACCCAACTCACTTACCTTGCAAAAATCCTCTCTGCCATGGTTTCTTTCCCTTTTGAGGGAAAGGAGAGACGGCTTGCAAATGCTTTTCGCTGCGACAATGGAAGTTTCTGGAGTCCGCGATCTTGCGCAAGTGTTTGAAGTTGTGCCAAATCACAGACCTTAGAAACTTTCATTCTCTTTGCAAAAGGTGTTTGCAGTGCCTGTTTCCTGCTCCTGCCTCCAACTCCTTTCTGCCTGAGGGCATGCCCAAAACCTTCAACTGAGGGAGAAGGCGAGGCCCCTCACACCCGCCCTGCTGGGGAGGAAGTGACCCCATTGTCCCCAGAGCTTCGAAGGCCTCCTCCAAGTTGCCCAGAACAGAGGCCATGGGAAGCTTCTGCCTACCTCCGAAGGTCGGATCCAGGCCTCGGAGGCCTGCTCAAAGCCATTGCCGCCTGGAATGGAGGTTAGAGGAGCTTCTGCATGCCTCTGGAGGTCAGATCCAGGCCGCGGAGGCCTGGATCCAACCACCGGAGGCATGCAGAAGCCTCCCACAGCCCCGAGTTGGGGGGGAGCAGGAGGCAGGCAAACAGCACGAGAGTTCAGGCATCTATTCTCTGCAAAGAGGATTGGTGCCTGAACTTGTATGATATTACAGTACCCAGGAGCTTCCATTGACTCTCCTGTCCCTAAAAAGCAGGAACTGCAGTAGAGAGGAGACAGATCTTTTAAAGGTAAGTGAGTCCGGTGCAACAAGAATGCAGGGGGAAGCATGAGGTATCTTAGTGGGTTGGGGAAGCCTTGGGGGTCTGTTCCATCACTATGCCCCCCATGGCCTTTCCCACCCTGCGATACCTCATGTGCACTTAACGAGCTGTGTGCATCTTATCGAACAGGAAGTGATCTCATTTGAGATATGAGATTCACTGCCACGAATTTTTGAGTTACAAATGGAATGGGCAGGCTCCATTACATTTGTAATCGAGCACTACCTGTACAACCAAGCCACTTTGGGAGAAGCATTCTTGTAGAAAATGTCAAAAAAATACTAATGTAACTATTTTCTTCTACTGCTCACTGCACATAAAACGCCAAACTCTTTCTCATTCAGCAAAATTTCAAGGTACCTATACAACTGGCATTCTTTAGTGGAAGAAGAGAATCACAGTAGAAAAACTTCAAGTTCTTTTTTTGTGTGTATATATGCATCCTTTACCCCCTAGAGCAGTGGTCCAAACCTTTTGGCCACCAGGGACAAGTTCTGCAGAAAAAAAATTTCCACAGACCAGGGAGAACGTGGCTTTGCAAGCTACCTAGATCCTGCACATGTGCAGATGAAGCTTCACTTGCTTGTACGGACAAGTTCCTAACAGGCCATGAACCGGTGCTGGTCTGTGGTCCACGGGTTGGGGACCCCTGCTCTAGAGTCCAATGTCTAGTATATAAGTGGCATACAAAGTATTGAAATAAATTAATAAATAACCAAAATTGTTTTTATTTACAAAAACTAGTGGCTAGAGTTAGCACAAAATATACTGTGTCATTTAGGAGAAAAAACAATCCTATCTCATTTAACCTCATTTTTTTTAAGATTATACTCTGAACTAAGCTACTTTTTTCTTATAATAAACATGTATAAAAGCATTAAACATTCTGACACCTTTTTAAAAAAAATTGGCAATTCAGCTTTTGATTTTAGATTATGTTTTGATTCTAATTTTGAAGACCTTCTTGGAAAGCTTTTTCCCCTCTACAATATTTTAAAAATATAAATGAGAACCAGTTAAGGCACCAGGCTAGAAACCAGGAGACTGTGAGTTCTAGTCTTAGGCATGAAATCCAGCTGGGTGACTTTGGGCCAGTCCAGTCACTTTCTCAGGCCACAATGTCAGGCTTTGGTGACAAGCTGCTCAATCAATTCCTATTGCAACCAATATTTAGTTTATCTGAAAAAAGTGGAACCTGTATTTGCATGAAAATGCTAGGAAGAAAATAAAAATAGCAACAACATATTAAGGTACAGGAAACCATCTGGTGATTTGATGATGTAACTAGAAGAAACAAAGCTGACATCAATTCGATTAATTGGCTTTGAAGTCCAAATTATTTAATAAAAAAAAACAAAGTAGGCACTGAAAGATGTTATCTCAGGCCATTTTTATGGAACATGGAGAATTTAGGAGTAAAAATTGGAACACTTGACTTCCAGTCTTTCCATCATTCCAACTTTTTATTTTGTAAAACAAATCATGCCATGAAAATTCAATTATTTTGCCACCAAATTACTGTGGCACTACCTTGATATGGTTTCAACTATTGCACTATTCTATATTATAACTACAGTATGAATAAACCAGAAATTTAACTAAGCAAGTAGCGTAACTTTCTTTTCTTCTTCCAAATGTACTATTCTTCCCTAGACTTTCAGCACAGACTAGGTTCATAAAGCGTGAGAACAAAAATATAAAACATTACAAACAAATACTATATATAAAACAGGAAATTAAGGTAATTATTGCAATGCCAATCCAGTACATCCAACATATCTGAAAGGCTGACAGTTGAAGAATACTACAGGAGAGTTTTTATGGTATTTGATAACATCATGCTTAAGAACACAGTGATTACTAACCTTTACTGCCAAGAAGTTTAGACCACTTTCATGAGCCAAGGCCTTTGCAATCATGGTTTTAGAACATCCTGGTGGTCCATATAGCAGTACTCCTTTTGGTGGCTGAATGCCCATTCGAATGAAAGATTCAGGATGCTTCAGTGGCCATTCAACAGCCTGCTTTAATTTCAGTTTAACATCTTCCAGCCCTCCTATGTCTGACCAGGATACCTATAAAGCGAGTCACTTTAATTAATTCATTCATTGATTTTTGATAGCTCCCATGTTCAGGAGCATAAATATTGCATTATCAAGCAGCTACTAGGAGTTTAGTACTTAATTAGATCTATTTTAACACTTTCTTCGGATCACTTTTTACTGAACACACACACACACACCACAATCAGTGCCAAATAGGATACAGTAATCAATCTTTATTTCTGATAATATTGATGTAGTATCTCTTCAGAAGATCTTTATCAAGTTTATTGTCCTATAAATGTGTAGACCATTTTTAGGCTAAAGAAGACAGTTATATAAATACAACTGCTCAGTTCAGGTTCACAAAATGCTGTAATAAAAAAGCTATTAATTCATGGGAAAAGCACAAGAAAAAAAACATAAATATAAACTATCACAAGTATAACAGTCATTTGCACTCTCTTATTGGCAATGGTCAATCATTTGCATGGCTACCTTATTATCTACAATAAATATTTTTCTTTAGCTAAGCTATGTTCATGAAATTCATTCATCATGGATTGAAAGACTTTGCCGAAAGAGTAGTTTTTGTCTCCATGTTTGGATGTATTTCTATTCTATCCATATGCCTGTCTTAAAATAGTGTATCCCTGCACATTCCACAAAAACAGAGAATGATATCAAAGTACAACAATGTGCTATATTTTCATCCTTGTGAGAAATGTATGATGTTGGAAAATATGCAAGGTTAATACTGACTATACATGTGGACCTCTCACTATTTTTCATCATGATTTCCTAGACAACCCTTCTTGACCTTCAGCTATGTTGGAACTTGAGCTCTAGAATATCCAGACAACATAACTAGGAATTAAAGGAGTTACAGTTCCAATATATTCCCAAGATATGCAGAAGGAAAGACTTGAAGATCACTTAAGCTATTTCTGTGATCAGATGACTGCCTTTAAGCATGAGTCTTTTCTTATTCTCCAACTTCCAAATAGTCATCTTAAAATATTTAATAGAGAAATCTTACTTTGGGTACATCAATTGTCACCTCTCTCATGGCGCTGGGCCTGACATCATTCATTGCCTGCAGAAAATCACTGCGATTAATAATTACAGATACAGACACATCATCATCCAGGAGATTCTCTTTCTTATGAAATATTCTCCGCAAAGCATGCATTCCTGTACAAAGGACACAAAATGCAAAATAATGTATGGATTTCTTATTACATTTCACAGATATTTAACAATACATAAGTAGTAAATCCCATGCTGGTCCGTGACCGTAATAAAGATTGAATTGAATATAGTAAATGAAAAATATGAGAAATAAGATATTTCTCTTAATTTGATTTCATCAAGCATAAACAAATGAATGCGTAAGCATATATAGTAGTGATAGTCAACCTATGATACTCCAGATGCTATTGAACTGCATCTCTCATGTCCCAGCTTTTCCCATCACTTGTTGCCCTTTCCAAGGTAACTAAAATTGTCATACATTAGAATTACATCAGAAATGTAACAAAATCTCTAACTTTATCTTACAACATGAAGCATTTATTGGAAGGGATGAAATACAAAGGACAGACTAAGTGGATGCTAGTTGGTACACTGAAAGTACATTTGTAAACAATAACTAGTTTGTGGCTTAAACTAGTAATTATTTACAAAAAGTCTACCATCATCAAGTCTACCACCATCAAGTAAACATCCTTGAGACTATTTTCAAGCATTTCATAAGAAAGGGATTTAGATTTCTGAACACGGTTATCTATCTTCTTCTATAAGCGTGTTGATTGGGAGACAAAAGGCATCCAAAAAAGATATCACTTCACTGTTTCCCTTAGACTTGTCCAATCCACCAAATTATTTAGACTAACCCACCAAATTATTCTTTAGGAAACAGCTTTGGAAAATGAAGAAAAGGGTTGTATAACTCTCAAATAAAATAATGCATCATTTTTAGGGTTGCCAGGTGTCCACTATTTGAGTGGACAGTCCACTTTTTTCACATTATGTTCACTATTTTTTTTCACAAAATAGTGGACATTTTTTTTATTCAAAAGCTTTATGATGAAATGGTACGTAATCTAAAGCTGGACATTTTTTTATTCAAAAGCTTTATGATGAAATGGTACGTAATCTAAAGCTGTACAGTCTACTTTTTTTGCTACTTAACCCCTCCCCCCCCCCGCTTGTCCGCTATTTTTTGGAAGCAGACCTGGCAACCCTAATCATTTTCATATTAAGTTATTATATGAAAATCTGCAAGTACTAGAGTCCTGGTGGTGATCAGGATTGCATAATATTTTTGTGATAAAAGTAACTACTTAAAATAAAGAATTAAATTTGCCAAAGTTACCAATTTAAAACAGTTGTTGTTATCTATTTAATTGAAGAAAATACTTATTTCATGCACTGTTCAAAGCAAATACAGCTTTAAACATTTCCAATCCGAAAAGAAGTTATTGATGAAATCTGGTATGTAAGAGGGAACATTTCACATAATGTCTTATTTTCATATCTTATTTGCTATTATACAATATGTCTGGGTTTAAAAAAAATAAATTTGCAATCAACCAATTAAAAAAGATAAAGAAACAGCACCATTCAGTAATTGTTTGAGCAAGATACAGCATGCCTTCCCTTATTTTTTCAGGCTGGATCCAAACTTAGCCTATCCAACTAGATCTTTCTTCTCCACTCCTCTGGCCTACCTGTAGCTACTTCTTTCTTAAGATCTGGGGCACTCTGCTACATTGGAAGATTATTCTAGGTCTAGGATGAGAAAAAAAAGGTTTCTCTAAAATCAGGCCACAGCACATGGTTCAGTAGAGCTTTACTCCACTTGGTTTGGGAGATTTCTCAATCAGCTTAGTTTTATACTCCATGCAGTATTTAGGAAAGGTGGAAAAATCTGCTTCTTTCTATGTAGTTAAAGTTCAGCCCTACTATTCTCTATGTGGGCAATAAAGCAGTTGAAAAACGAAAATGGTTAAAATTGTTCAAAATAAAATCTGAATTATTTAAAGTACACATGCGCCGAAACCATTATGCAGTTCAACATTTAAATGAAGCAATGTTTTACAAAAAACAACAACACAATAATAAAAGACAGATTGAAGGCAAAACCTTAATCCTTCCTGTTTCCTCTTGTTAACATCATTTATTTCTGCTGTCCCTGCTGACCTTGACCTTAATCAGTGGTTATGTTATTTCCAAGAATGGATCTAGTCAGTACTTTACCAAATACATAAATACATCTTCTTTTTCACTAAAAGAGGAAGAACTTTGTAATATGTTTGTATATGTGAGAACTGTGTTCTAGTTGTAAGACAGAACAAATCCTGAACAATGACCTCACCCTTTGATTAAAGCTGCATTCCAAAAATAGCAGGCATGTATCCAACACAACGGAAGTTTAAAAAACAGTTTGCCATTTTGGATGAGACCCAACTTTTATTCATGTACTGAAAGACAGCTTGAAGAACATGTTTATATTTATCAGGCAGCACTTTTTTCCAACTCGTCAGCTCATGTTCCCTTACCATTAACTACTGTGGTTAACTTTTCCAAAATCTTATTAAAAACAAGGAATTGTTTTATGAATCAAAAGTCTAAATGAAAAATATCCATATTTTAATTCATATAAAAAGTACACATAACTTACAAGAGTTAATCAGTGTTGGTTGTTGTACATTTTATATATATAATTCTGAATCTGATTCAGCAGTTGACTTAATCAGAATGCTTAGTTTTCAAGAATGTATGTATATAGGACAACTTCATGCTCAATAAAGGCTATATAAATAAAACATTTAAAAAATATAAAATAATTATGTATCACCACTATTTTTAGATAGTATTCGAAGTATAGGAATTAGTTTGAATACTATTAAATTTGTAGTATTGTTTTAGATAAATACCGTGATTTGGCTAATGTAAAGGTGGGATCAAAAGTTAGGCTTATGTGTATCAAAAAGAAACCCTATAACTGAAACATGGGCCTATGTAGGGATTGCCCATCGCTTAGGAAAAACAAAGAGACTGTTTTAGATCCTAGTGACCCAGAAAGATCTATCCCAATTGAACTGTGTGGCAGGGTAACTATCAAACAAAGCTATTATATCTTCTGTTCTCACCTCTGCGCATAATCTAATATTCTCATACATACCACTACTCAAAACACATTGTATGTTGCAAGTACTTATCTTATTCTTTCCTTGCTCGTGTAGAAGTAGCTCTGCACATAGTTTTCCTCTCAGTTATAGATGCAATAAAAGGTACAAATTCAGGGGCCTTGGATCACTAGTTTGCCTGTTCTGTCTGAGAGACTCAGTGATAAAACTGAGAGGACCTTATCACAAAATTGCAATTTTTAAACTTACTGTTATTTAACTACTTTATTCTTTCCTTTCTTGCAATCACAGATTCTGGATTTAACAATTATATAGGTCAGTGGTGGCGAACCTTTGGCACGAGTGCCAGAGGCAGCACTCAGAGCCCTCTCTGTGGGCACACACGCCGTTGCCCCAGTCCTAGGCCTTCAGCTGGGTTTTATAAAACCTTTTCGCTTTAGGCCTCTGCCGCTGTGTGCAAAAAAAAAAAAGATTCAATCAATCAGTCAATTTCAACTTCTTGCAGGAAAAAAAAAAGATCTTGCAAAGTTGGAATTGATTGATTGAACTTTTTAGTCCCACCCAGTCTGCTGTTACCATCGCAGCCACACCCACCCAATGGGCCACACCCAGCCAATGGCCACACCCACCCAGCACCCAACGATGCATAAGTGGATTTTGAGTTGCAGTTTGGGCACTCGGTCTCTAAAAGGTTCGCCATCACTGATATAGGTAGAACTGCAAAGGACATGCATAAAAGAAGAAACTTTGCAGCATGTCAACCAGCAAACTGTAGTTTCCATTTTTTTTAACCCCTTTTGAACCTCTTTTTGCCTATTTTTTAAACTGGTGGTTCTAGATCACAGGAACAACAGAAGTCTAAATCCACCGTAAATGTGTCCTTAATGCTGATTTCCTGTTTAGCTTGCCAAAGAGGAAAATGTACACTTAATTAAACTACATTCCCCACCAAGTGATTTGCATTCATGAATTTTAACTTGTCTTAATTTATGTATTTCTTTTTTGTACAATTGGTGGCTGCTAGAATGAATCAAAGCTAGTTAAAACTGATCTTGAGTGGTTATGCAAGTCAAATCCATAAAGAATAATGTAATGGTTACATTCTTTTCTATCCAAACATCTGGAATGCACCAAGTAAGAGAAAGGTAGTTTTTAATTTTGTGGTTTTTCATTGTTAATCAGTTACTCTATTCCTCATAATTTTATGAGTTAATTATACTTTATTATATTTACAGATCTGTATACTGTTTTGAAGTGCACAAAAGTATAAATGTACATTTGTAAATGTACACAAATCCTTCATACTAAGTATGTACTAAACATACTTAGTCATTTCCTGTTGACACTCCACTCAACCACATTTGCATATGTAATTACAGAAAAAAATAAGTAGTAATAATATTTATTAAATTTATATGCTGTCCTCACTATCAAATCAACTCTAAAGGCAAAATAACTTATTTTGTACTGTTCATTTACTTTTGTACTTCATTATTTCATCCATCGTTCAATTATCTAGACTCCATTTCTTCTTGTTATATCACAGAAATTTTCCCTTGAATTCATTTTCTGATGTACCCTACTTTTGCTTCCATATAACAAAACGGACAGAAACAGAGTCTCATGTACAGTAATTTTTGATACTTCAATAAGTATTCTACATAAACAGTAAATATTTTGATCATAATTTCTCTCCATTTCTCTGCTTCTTTTAACCAACCAAGCTCTCTTTGACTAGATAGTTTTCAACTTTATTTTTCTCTATATATGCACTGTACAACATCATTTTTTGGTATCATTCTCCTATGTCAGGGGTGTCAAACTCAATTTCATTGGGGGCCGCATCAGCATTGTGGTTGCCCTTGGGGGGCTGGGTGGGTATGGCCAGGGTGGGTGCGGCCTACTTGGTGGACGTGGACGGAGTAGGTATGGCCTACTGGGTGGGCATGGCCAGCTCTACATCGTTCGCATCAAGGGTGCCTGTGGGGGCCTGGGCAGGAGTGGGACAGATCTGAGAGTCTCTGGCAGAAGGGGGTGGGA